AAGATAAATAAAATTGTCTAATGATTTTTAACTGAAAATTTGGCGTCTTTACTGAAAAATCGTCTTCTCCTGTACGTTGACGGGAAGCGATTCGATGTCGTTTTCTTACCCCCTGAAAGAAAGACTACATATCTGCCTGTCTTCATCAGGGTGTTGATTTCCTATAGAGGTTTTCGGTGTATGGGAATATTTGATATTTAGTTGTTGGTTAATCTTAACATATCCTCAAAACTTAATCCATAGCAAACCATGAGTGGTAAACAACGTAAACTAATCTAAAGCAAGGGCACATCGGCGCTTGAGTGGGAAACAAGTTATGCCAAATGATAAATGTTTGTTACAGCATAATATTTTTAGAAATATTACAAGTAATTATAATCTCAGTGTTAATTCAAACCAGCCTGGTTTGTTTGACTGCATCATAATTATCAATTGATTGTATGTGCGATGTTAAACATCGGAAACAAGAAAGTCAGTTTCATGCACACATGTCAAATATAATTTCCTCGGCGCGCAAGACATTGGAAGACATAAACAACCAAAAGGCGACAGATATCAAATAAGCAGCCATGGAAATGTATACACGTATATAGTATTAAACGGCTACCATTGGGCGACATAGATATGTATATTACATAAGCGACCATTGGGCGACATATATATACGACCTTTGGGCGACGATCGCCTAAAGGTCGCATATAAATATATATACGTGTACGCCGTACATTTTACCTTTGGGCGACACGATATGGGTGACACCAAAAATATATTCTCTATTTGTACAAGGTTTTATCCCCTTTTCATGTTTAATTATCAAATTCAAACGTTTATAACCGAAGCAGAATAAAAAAATCAGTGCACGTTTGTAATATATGGCAATGTCGCTCAAAGGTCGCAGTTTATAGTACTGCCGCCTAAAGGTCGGATTTGCCCTTATATACACATGTGTACCCAAACGTCTCACAAGGCCCGGTCATGAGACGACAATTACGTCACGTATATTGCACATTCAGCTGCTACAAATACATGGCTGAATTCCTCATACATTTTAGAGTCAAATAACAAATGGTCTTTGTCATCAATATCAAGTGTCCAGATGATATCAAACGAATTATGTTTGGTGAAAACGAACACTTTGCTCGGAAGACTACGCCTGTTTGACATGTAATCACAGAACATCAAGTTTTTACACTGTATAACACTTTCTCACCTCCAGAGTCACCATGATTTGTACGGAAGTAATGGCACTCGGGTTTGAAGTCCCGCTCTCTACCGATTGAGTTACGCGAGCCTCAATAAGAATAGGTTCAAAATTTAGGGTAATACTTGCGAGCTGGAAGTAGTTCTGCTAATAATAATATTAGCATTATCATGCTTGAAATTGATTTATCATTGGAGTCAGAATCCTACACAAATGGACGCCCAGACTAAGTATGGTTTTTCAAGTTGGTTTTCAACAACTTGTGACTGGTACAATTTTTGTAGAGTCACGCTAGAATGGACAGGATAGGAGGGCCAGGAATCATTGTTGGGGAAAGTTTGGTAACTGAAAATACCATAAATCAGTGTATGGAATAAGGCCCGTCCGCCCGCCCGAGATGGGCTTGATTTCTGACGGACGGTCTAAATTTACAGGTAGCCAACCCTATCTTCTGGTCAAAACGTTAAAATAATGTTCCAGTAAAACGTTGTCTGGTCTGGTTAAATCCATTTTTGGCTGGTAACATTTTCGAGTTAACAGCCCTGCTGTCTGTCTGGGTTTTTGGCTTATTTCATACACTGCCAGGGGCGTAGCTACCATTATAAACAAAGCCCGGGCTTACACATGATTGTTGCTAGAAAAGTTGGACAAGCCCTAAATACCATCTAAATATAAAGCGCTAATACCTAACGGGCTTACAGGAAAAAACTGGCTTGTTACGCGCCTGACTGCATAAATGTCATGTTGTCGAAGGCCAGTGGGTGTTCGGTGGTGTTGAGAGGTTAGACACATGATTTTTCTGTGGTACCACTAGCCAGCAGAGATTCTCCCATTAATCAATGTTACCTGGTCCAATCCTCATTCTTGATTGCTGAAAGCCCTACTGCCGTTTAGATAACGCACGGTTGGTTTTCTCCAAACACCCAACACGCATGTTTTTGATGAGGGAATGCATATAATATACTTCTATTGACATGCGTGTAGTGCTTGGTTGAATAACATCACCAGCAAGGAGGAAAAGACAGAGATCCTTTTAAACGGAACCAAGGCCACCTAAAAACCCCTTCAGAATTGAAAATGACAGAATTCCTCAAAATTAAAAATGACAGCATGAAAATAATCTGTTAATTTCCGTAAATGTAAACAACACTGCACTGAAGCCTTACAAACCCATATAATAACAACATTAGGCTCGTACGACGAGTGTTATACATTAGTGCTACAATATTGCAAAGTCAGAGTTAAGCATGGGGACAGGTCGTGAATTGCAACAATATTTTGAAACAAAAAGATACAAATATGTTTGATTTCACGTGCGCATATTTGTTGAGGGATTCTAAAGGCAGACCAGGGAAGCCCCCTGCGTGCCGATGTCAGTGTTATATAAAATAAATCTGCTATTGGTAGTGTTGTCGTATGTCAACATTGTTGTACATGTTGAACAATTTGTTTAAGATAAAAGTCGGTAAACACAGTCACTTCGTCAAGCTACTTAGCGTTTGATAATGTATATATCTTTCAGATATTGATTCGCGAAGCTTATTTCATTATCTACATTTAGCCTTCAGGCCAGTCAGAATCGATACACATAAGGAAGAGAGGTTTATGGATGTCAACCTCTTTATTATGAGAAAAACAATGATTTCGAGTAAATACTTACTCATTCATCAGTTGAAGAATATTTACATTTAGGCTTATTCAGTATGATATCATACATAGGCTATTCAGTATGATATCATACATAGGCTATTCAGTATGATATCATACATAGTCTATTCAGTATGATATCATACATGGATATAGGCTGTACGTGTTTGTATCCTTTTGCAAGTGTCTGCTTGTTTGAACAATATTTACAGATGAAAGTGACACAGTTAGTGTAGTACACCATAATAATATTAAAATTTGTAACCTGTACTCAAGTGTTAGATGAAATGTAGGCATAACTACAAAACGTGCTTTGTGCATATAGTGTGCAATAGTCAATATTCCTTGGAACAAACATCACATAATTATTCTGACAGTCCCATACAAAAGGGTCTATTTTTTCATCTTTAATTGTTTACTTTTGTAGAGAAATAGCAACACCATCATGAACAGAGGAAACTCCTGTCCTGAAAATATGCTCATATGTTTTGAACTATTCTGTATCATGTACGGTAAATCAAAATACACAATCAACTATTCAGGACATTTATTTAAATTGTAAGTAATTCATTTCATGTTCTGGGGAAAGCATGGCTGCCAAAACGAAGTCTCTCTAGAATCTACATACATTATGTGAGGTACATATATTAACTAATGGACATACAAATGTCCTATTTTCCGACGTCGCAAACAAATCTATAAAACAACCCAGGAGGTAATGATTTCACATGTTGTGCACTTTCAACATTTCTTGTAATTTGTGATACTATCCGGTTACAATGTGTATTGAATAGTCTGGTTCATCGTGAACGAAACCTCACGAAAATAAAGTATCCTTCTCAACAGTGAATTCTCTCCAAGTGACCTGAGTTACAATGACATAATATAAAGCATAGCGGAGTTTCGCCCCTCGTCTCTATGCCCGTGTCAGTTATGTCAAGCCACAATAGTAACAAACCCATCGGGCATTATTGATTGTAAAATGTATGAGGAATTCAAGGAGGTGTGTGTTTAGAGCTGAGTGTTAAATATTTGTGATGTAATTGGCATCTCATGACCAGCTTACGTGAAACAGTAAACACTATCAAACATAACAGAGAGCTCACTTCGGCGCGTGTGTTTGCCTGCTCCCGAGACGGTCCAAACGATTTCAGGGTTATAGGCGGGGTTTCAGTACAGTCATTGGCGACTTGATAAAAACCACATACCACTTATCACTAACTGGCTATTTTTCAAATTCAGTTCAACGGGTTAATATCCGATATTTACCTTTACAACATACAGTAAACGATGCCGCGAATGGCGAACTCTTTATGTGTCCAAAAATGGCGAGATTTACCATGTACATAATTCTGACCGGTCATTTCAGCAATTGTGCTTTACCTAAAAAACAATATGTTAGATCAGGAAACAGAGAAGTGTGGGAGGTGCTTGTCATTCTGGCATCCAGGATTAACAAATATGAGATGTTGTGGGTGATGATTGTCGTGTGTTTGATTTTGTATATTGTGTGTTTTGTCACTACAGAAAGAGTACATTTCCCTGTGGCACCAAAACGGTTAAATCTCAGTAGTAATCAGCTACAGATGTCCATCCTTCCCTTGTTAAACGATACCCAACACATGGTATTTGACAAATACTGTTTGTGTTGTATGGCACGATGCCAGCATTGCGCCGCTCTCTGTCCTATCTGGCCGAGAAGACGGCCGGGCACCTCAGTGTGTACCTGTGACGTCACCAGCAGTGTGACGTCACTGTCACTGTACAAATGGCGCCATTTTAGCTGGGTGAACCTGGGCTCAGTCTGAGATCACAGTGTGCAGCGACATGTAAACAAACAGTTTGTTGTTGTCGGTTTCACAATATTCGCGATATTCTCAGAACAAAATTAACACAGAATTATGTTAGGACGGGCGACGTTTACGTACAATTCTACCATGAATCAAGAAAATACTAGATTCTGATTGGTTGTTCAGAAAAATCAGACGCGTTCGGTTCCAATTGAAATCAATTCAGTAAAGCATGTCTCTGATTTTCAAACACACTAGGTTTATCTCCTAATCACTCACCGTTTATGTTTACACTCACTTCACAATTTTCTTACCTGATCACGCGAGGTTCTAAACACAACAAATGACAAAATGTCTGAAAATACATTCAACAAGTTCTATTTATATTCACAAAGTAAACGGAAATCACGTGAATCGTGACACACGACAACGTGGACGGCACACACCTCGTCAGTGTCAGTAACGACATGTGCACCGTCACTGTCCACACCAACACTGACTTCAGTGTCCACCACGTGACACCAGGAACTCCACCACTCGCTGATGTCCATAGAATCTCGCGTAGTAGACCGCTGTGCTCCCGTAGTTGTTCATGGCGTTGATGTCCAACACGTTCAGGGACACGATCAGCTTCACGATCTCCAGGTCTCCTACACCCCAACAGGCGTAGTGAAGGACGTTGCTACCGTACCTGTTCACCAGCGACACATCAGCCCCTCTACCCACCAGGAACTCCACCACATCTCTGTGTCCCCTCACTGCTGCCGCCATCACCGGTGTCCCGCTGTAGTCTCCTCTAGTGTTGATGTCCACGTGACCCGCTGCCAGGATCCGCTTCACTCTTTCCAGGTCACCGTCCTCGCTGGCGGAGTAGAGGTCGCGGTCTGTGGCTGGTGATGGAGTCGCTGCAACACAAAGTAAACTGTGTACATCAGACATGTTCGTCACACATCTACAATGTTTTCATCATGTGATACGTGACTCGGACATTGCTGCATCATTTAAACAATTCCATCATGGCTGACAACAATACAACATGGCGGGAATGTCAACTTGTGGTTTCTGGAATTATGGATGGTGTGTTTAATACAGAACTTTCTGTCAGAGCCAGAAGTTGTAGCATTATTTTGTGTACGTGTGGAGAGTGTTGATGTTTGTTGAACTTTACAAGTTGATAATGTCAGTACGGCTCTTGTTTGGTTTTAGGGTAATAAGATATAACGTTGGTTTATGTCACAGAGTTTTAATTGGTGTTTGACGCCACACTCAGCAGTATTCCAGCTGTCTGGTGGCGACCTCAGCATAATTATCTGGTTCATGGAATCCTGTGACTGACAACATGAACGTCGATCGACTCCACTATTCTTCCTGCTTGCTGGGTTTTCCGACCTACCGTGGGAGTCTTGTGTCGTCACTGGCGCTGGTGGAACCGTGTTGTTCGGTGTCAGATCATCACTCACGTCGGTCGTCGAGGCTGAAACAGGGAATATGTTGTTCAGAAAACTATACATAGCACATAAACATTTCTATTGCTGGCTCAGTTTTCGCCTTTCCACATAATGTTTCGCCTTTCAGTATTATGTATGATTAAATTCTAAATACATATCTTATGAAAGAAGTATTAAATATATAACGTTCAATTTGATTGAGGTCGAGACCGCGTGTCTCTGCAGGAAAAAACCCTTCCTAAATTTAGTTTTTACAGTTTGAAATCCTCTGACTAACAACATGAACGTCGATCGATACTACAGGTGAGACTCATCCTCAATCACCACGGGTATGTACATCAGCGTGTTAAATGCAGGGAGGATTAAGAACTGAGCTTCCTGCCTGCTGGGTTTTCCCACCTACCGTGTGGATCAGGGTCTTGTGTCGTCACTGGCGTTGGTGGGACCGTCTTGCTCAGGCTCGGGTCAGTCGAGGCTGAAACAGGGAATATGTTTTCCAGAAAACTACAAATAGCACATAAGCATTATAACTACTGGTCCCGCTTTCCAAAAAGTTTTGCCTTCCATTATTATGTAGTATGTAGTCCAAATACATTGGTTGTAGCAGAGGTATTAAAAACGTATGTTTCGACTTGATTAAGATACCTGTTGATCGAGACTGCGTGCCCGAAACAAAGAGCACTTTCTAAATTCATTTTTACAGTTTGAATCTGAAAATGTAATAAGCCGTGTACTGTCAGTGACTGTGTGTTAACAGCTGAGATGCTCTTCTATGTTCAAATGTAGTACTGAATGAATACAAATGTTAATTGTTACTTTGGTTTGAAATATAAACATGAACGGTGAAACTAAAGAATCTGTTGGCCCTCAGGGTTAAGGTTAGGTTACTAACGACTATATTCTACAGGGAATTCATATATAAACATATAGTACATGATTATTCACATTAATAATTGATTATTACACTAAATGAAAAAAATAGATAAACAAACAAAAACATCTGCACTTATACCTATTCCCCTCTATGGGGTGACTAACTGTTAGTTTGAATTCATTAACCGTGGTTGGAATTCAAAGATGCCTTTCCTTCACATATTGATACAAAATGCATGAAATAGTTACTAGATAGTAAAACAACATCAAACGACATGAACCACTGATAATGCGGTTTCGCCACTTGACTTGATGTTTATGCAACACAGTTTAAATTTAGTGTCAGGTAAACTCAGTGAAGCACTCACAAAATGTCAGAATACCGAGCGATGGCGACAATGCATTTTTCACACAACAACATGATCCTATCTGAGTCGGAAACTTCAGCTGACACAACCGTACTTGTCGATGGAAGCAATGTGCTTTGATAAACAACAAGGGTACAAACACGTGGCAGTGTGTGGTGGTAAAGATCCACATGTCGGCTGTCCGAGTGATAACATTCCGTCTGTTTCAACATTAGAAATAACGAGAATAAAGCATATTTGCCCTTCCATAATTTACATTCAATTGCATTGTTTTAAAATGTTGCAGAAATGCATGTGTTCCACATAAAGATTTCATTGCTAAAAGAGCAAATCTACAGGTCGTCATTGTAACCATCTTTAAACTGCTACATCTGACCATGTGCTATAGCGGGGATGTATTTCAATTCAATGCAGCTCTTCATTGACGCAGAATATAAAAATGAAACACATTTAAAATGAAATACTTGACTGGACAGATTTAAAATAGTCTCATAACGTCTTCCGATCCCTGAGAGTTGTAAATGCTATCAGGCCAAAGGATAACCCTTACAAGCACATACTGTGATCAAATATAACAAGTCTATCAGGTGAAACGCCGCGTGATGTTTACCCGGACCTTCCTTCATTCCCACCGGTGACAGGCTAAACAAACGTCTGAATGTAAACATTGTGTGAAGCAAGCACTTAGTTACCACAACATTCATATTGCTTTACAGCAGTCGTACTATAAACTATTTCATCTAATTTCCTAAATCAGTTCAAAAGTAGAAACTGAGAACTTACCTACCAATAACGTCCTAACACGAGCGACTTATCTCACTGCTAGTTACGAAATGCCTTGACTGGCGACACCACGGCCGCAAAGCTGCCAGCTATGACGTCATTGTGACGTGACAGGTTAGGAGCATGGCAACGTTTGGCGCTCGACTGCTTGGACTGATTAACAACTTTGTATGGAAATATTTCTATCCGACCCAAGTTTGCCCTCCGGTTTTATCAGATGAAAACAACATATTACAACATATGTTGTGCTACCTATGGCATGGCATGGACAATAGTTGTATAAGCATATCGGCTTTTTCCCTAAATTAGGAATTCACCGATTGTTCACAAAACTCCCAATAGTTGTTTACAAAAGCATAAATGTCCTCTTTCAATGCACGTTATATGTGGATATCATTAGACGTTAGAGGCTATCATTCTGTCAAACAAGAGCATTGATGTTCTTACATGGAGCTCATAACACTGAAATATACCGTATTTCCTCTATTAAGCGCCGGGTTTCTATTAAGCGCCGGGCCTCTAATAACCGCCGGGGATAAAGCAGTGCTTTAAGAAATAAGCCCCGGGTCTCTAATAAGCGCCGGGTATTGACCTTTGCATTTTTTCGCAAATGAATTCTCCCTTGGTCTAAAAATAAATATATCAAGGAATGGTCCCTTAAATCATAACTACATAACTAATCATAACGAATCATAACATAATTAAAAAATACAGGGTATTTTAATAGGCGCTGGGGCTCTAATAAGCGCCGGGCCTCTTATAAGCGCCGGGTCTGGATATCCGTTGAAAATATAAGCGCCGGGGGCTTATTATAAGAAATACGGTAGTCTTGAAAGACAAAATGGTTTTCCGAGCCTGTTGTGCTAAGTGTAGACCGGTATTCCCCAAGATGAGGACAATTTTTATGGACATACAACTTCTTTATTCTGTACATGCGACGTTTCGACAAGGGGTTCTAATGTCGTTGTCAAGCATAGAACCTATGTCGAAACGTCGCCTGTACAGAATAAAGATGTTGTATTTTCATAAAAATTGTCCTGATTCTTCATCGCCTCAACTTCTAGAATGCCAATCAAAGAAGATATTCCTCAACCCAATCTAGGTGTGACATACATACCGAGATATTTATGTTCAGATGCAGTATCCATAAGTCGTCCGCCCATTCAGAATAACATGGTCTTAGTCAGCTGCCTGTTATTGCACGCCATGGTTATTGGGTAATGAAAGTAAAACATCGGTTTGTGGCTGTAATCTGTTAGTGTTAGCTGCAGCGGTAATCATGACATCACCCAATAGTGCTTTTAAGCTGGTGATATGTTTCAGAAGATTTCCGGCATATATACCTCTGCAGTCAGGTAGTTTGGTAATTAGTGAAGTCATTTAAAAACGGAATACCCAATTTGCAGTTTTCACTGCCTGACTCCCCGGCGTAACCTCCTCCCACTCTTGGAGAACTACGTGGTGTGGTGTCAATCATGAAAGGGCAATCCCAAACGAGGTTCTACCAGGCCATTCCTCAAATATTGGCATTTATGGACAAGCAAAGAAATAATCTGGTGAAGTTCAGGTTTCTACTATGCAGAGAATGTTTTACTTTGTAAGGTAATAATGACGCAAACATAAAACGTGCAGTGTTCAGTTGACTGGGCTGTGCTGGACAGGTCGGAAATGCAGCCTGACAACACCAAGTCTAGTCTTGACTAGTGGGTCGAGGCGATTTTACTGAAAGCAAGTTATAATACTCGGAATAGGAGTAATACATTTGTCGCAGAAGTGGCGCCGTGGCCCCACGAAACCAGTTCAAGTCTAATCAGGTGTCCACTTCCTAATTAAATCAGTACGATCACCCAGAAATCTAGAGGTACAGAATAATTCAGTGTGAACACAGCAGAGTTGAAATACAGTTCGTAATCTGTCTGATGTCTGCCTGATCTGTCTCTTACGCTGAATCAGCTAACATAGAGAAACACGGCAACAGAAATATATATCTGTATCTTAGATACAAACTAAGTACAAAAGACGCATGGAAACCCTTAAAACCTGTGTCGATATATATTCTAAGCTCTGTGTTGGCATCACCTGTCAACCCAACGTTTGCATGCCTTGTAAGCCCTATGTTGGCATCACCTGTTAACCCAACGTTTACATGCCTTGTAAGTCCTATGTTGGCATCACCTGTTAACCAAACGTTTACATGCCATGTAAGCACTATGTTGGCATTACCTGTTAACCCAACGTTTACATGCCTTGTAAGCCCAATGTTGGCATCACCTGTTAACCCAGCGTTTACATGCCTTGTAATTCCTATGTTGGTATTACCTGTTAACCCAGCGTTTACATGCCTTGTAAGTCCTATGTTGGCATCACCTATTAACCCAACGTTTACATGCCTTGTAAGCCCTATGTTGGCTTTACCTGCTGAACCAAGGTTTACATGCTGTGTAAGCCCTAGGTTGTCAAATAACCCCCATTTCAAATAACCCCCATTTCGACATGCCCAATAAACTCCATGTACGTTAAACCTTTTGTTGCCATGACAAATTAATCCTATGTTGGCATGTCGTGTGAACCCTATGTTGACATGTCGTGTGAACCCTGTAATGACATAGCCTGTGTGCTCACAAATTTATTTGGTAAATAAACGTTTAGATTAATAATAGTTTAACACTGTCATATTCGGAAAAAGAAAGGTTTCCACAATAACGTTTACCTCGGACATATTGTTTCAAAAGCAGAAGACAAACATTTAATGCGTATGCAGTAGGACTGTAAAATATTGGCTAGATTCCAACAAATTAGTGTTATTCTCATATATTCGGTTGCAATATCAAACTAGAATGTCAATCAAACGACAAATCCTTGCTAAAAGTCTCACCTGCTGTCGTATCAGGATACGTCGTGGTTGAATCCTCCTTAATCTCTTCCCTCATCCTACAACAACTTGTATTCAGCGTCATGAAGTCCTGTGTGAGGCCAGCGATTGTTTGCCTTGTCTCAAACAGGTCACCAATGGTCTGATTTAGTTGAATGTTTAAACTCTGAATTTCTGTGGGTAACTTCAGCTCCATTTCTTGCAAGCCCTCCCGGTATGATTCAACCTCTTTTCCCGTCATCGCACAACTTGTATTCAGCGTCATGAAGTCCTGTGTGAGGCCAGTGATTGTTTGCCTTGCCTCAAACAGGTCACCAATGGTCTGATTTAGTTGAACGTTTAAACTCTGAATTTCTATGGGTAACTTCAGCTCCATTTCTTGCAAGCCCTCCCGGTATGATTCAACCTCTTTTCCCGTCATCGCACAACTTGTATTCAGCGTCATGAAGTCCTGTGTGAGGCCAGCGATTGTTTGCCTTGCCTCAAACAGGTCACCAATGGTCTGATTTAGTTGAATGTTTAAACTCTGAATTTCTGTGGGTAACTTCAGCTCCATTTCTTGCAAGCCCTCCCGGTATGATTCAACCTCTTTTCCCGTCATCGCACAACTTGTATTCAGCGTCATGAAGTCCTGTTTGAGGACAGTGATTGTTTGCCTTGCCTCAAACAGGTCACCAATGGTCTGATTTAGTTTCGATTCCAGCATTCTTATATATGACGTTGCGCGAGCTACTGTCTGATTTAGTGCCCGGATGTCTTTTGTCAACTCGCCACGTTCTTTTCCAACAGTTTCTCTGTAGGTGTCTGTTCCCCGTTCAACACGTCTTAAGTCTTGTGTTATTGCCTCAAGTTGTGTCGTTTTGTTTTGTAAACTGGCGTTCAGGCTGGTAACTTCATCGAAAATATGCCCTCTGATAGCATTCCCAATATATTCTTCTTTTAGTATGTCGGTAATTGCTTGTTTGACGAGAGGTTTTATCAAGGAAGGAAGGAATGTTGAAGTCAGTTCTTCTTTCAGTGATAACTCCCAAACATTAAACTTGTTTATCAGTTCAGTCTCAGTATTAATACTTATAAGTTTCCATGCTTTGAGATCCATTTCCACCACCGTCACCCGTGTAGTCAGTTTTGCCAAACTGCCATCAGCATATACGTCTTCGACGCCGCACAACACGAGACTGAGGAATACAAGTGTTGATAGCTCCATTATGCAAGTGTACTGTCCAGCACACAGCTAGGAAGACGACTGCCTCGCTGCAGGGTAAACGGCTTTAATATAGCCCGACCCAAGAGTTTGGCACAATGCCAGCTCGGGGCAACACATGCTACACCAGTAGTGTGCGTACACGTGACGTCATAGCAACCAACACAGCGGAGAATGCTGAGATACTCCAAACAGTGTTCTGTGTATTGCCACTGTCAATGTAACATAAAATATATTAGCAAGATTAGCAAATGGCACCATGCGTGCTGCAATTATGTTTTCTAGATGGTAGTAACATGTGTCCCTCCCTACCTTGGACAACATGGGGCGCAGTTTGAATAGTCATTGTGAAACCACCCACGCTTGATGGACCCACTCTAAATGCGATGGTGCTGTACCACCTTAACGTGTGTAAAGCGCTAGGTAGAACTTGAATACCTCGGTCATGGAGGTCAGGGGGAGCCTCGATTCTTCAGAAAACACGTCATCAGCCTAATGTCCCAGTGGGGATATCATCCTAGAGTTAACGTCCCCAATACCACTGACATGGCGACTCTGACCTTTATGATATATCACAAGACATTTTCTTCGTGCTATTCTACAACAGATGATACTTGGATATATCATGTATCGTGGGTTCCAGTGTATATTACAGTGTCACTGCTGGGTATTATATTACAGTGTCACTGCTGGGTATTATATTACAGTGTCACTGTAGGGTATTATATTACAGTGTCACTGTTGTGTGTTGTATAACAGTCTCACTATTGGGTATTATATTACAGTATCACTGTCGGGTGTTATATTACAGTGTCACTGTTGAGTATCATATTACAGCGTCTCTGATGTGTATTATATTACAGTGTCACTGTTGTGTATTATATTACAGTGTCACTATTGGGTATTATATTACAGTGTCACTGTTGAGTATCATATTACAACGTCTCTGATGTGTATTATATTACAGTGTCACTGTTGTGTATTATATTACAGTGTCACTATTGGGTATTATATTACAGTGTCACTGTTGAGTATCTTATTACAGCGTCTGTGATGTGTATTATATTACAGTGTCACTGTTGTGTATTATATTACAGTGTCACTATTGGGTATTATTACAGTGTCACTATTGGGTGTCACTATTGGGTATTATATTACAGTGTCACTGTTGGGTTTTATATTACAGTGTCACTGTTGTGTATTATATTACAGTGTCACTGCTGGGTTTTATATTACAGTGTAACTGTTGTGTATTATATTACAGTGTCACTGCTGGGTTTTATATTACAGTGTCACTGTTGTGTATTATATTACAGTGTCACTGTTGTGTATTATATTACAGTGTCACTGTTGAGTATTATATTACAGTGTCACTGTTGGGTATTATATTACAGTGTCACTGTTGGTATTATATTACAGTGTATTATATTACAGTGTCACTTTTGGGTATTATATTACAGTGTCACTGTTGTGTATTATATTACAGTGTCACTGTTGTGTATTATATTACAGTGTCACTGCTGGGTATTATATTACAGTTTCACTATTGGGTATTATATTACAGTGTCACTGATATTACAGTGTCACTGCTGGGTATTATATTACAGTGTCACAGTGTCACTGCTGGGTATTATATTACAGTGTCACTGTTGTGTATTATATTACAGTGTCACTGCTGGGTATTATATTACAGTGTCACTGTTGTGTATTATATTACAGTGTCACTGTTGGGTATTATATTACAGTGTCACTGTTGGGTATTATATTACAGTGTCACTGTTGTGTATTATATTACAGTGTCACTATTGGTATTATATTACAGTGTCACTGTTGTGTATTATATTACAGTGTCACTGTTGGGTATTATATTACAGTGTCACTGTTGTGTATTATATTACAGTGTCACTACTGGGTATTATATTACATTGTGTATTATATTACAGTGTCACTGTTGGGTATTATATTACAGTGTCACTGTTGGGTATTATATTACAGTGTCACTGCTGGGTATTATATTACAGTGTCACTGTTGTGTATTATATTACAGTGTCACTGCTGGGTATTATATTACAGTGTCACTGTTGTGTATTATATTACAGTGTCACTGTTGTGTATTATATTACAGTGTCACAGCTGGGTATTATATTACAGTGTCACTGTTGTGTATTATATTACAGTGTCACTGCTGGGTATTATATTACAGTGTCACTGTTGTGTATTATATTACAGTGTCACTATTGGGTATTATATTACAGTGTCACTGTTGTGTATTATATTACAGTGTCACTGTTGTGTATTATATTACAGTGTCACTAGTGGGTATTATATTTCAGTGTCACTGCTGGGTATTATATTACAGTGTCACTGCTTGGTATTATATTACAGTGTCACTGTTGTGTATTATTTTACAGTGCCACTATTGGGTATTCTACCATGAATCAAGAAAATACTAGATTCTGATTGGTTGTTCAGAAAAATCAGACGGCATCAATTGTGGATTGACGCTCATCTGATTGTAAGGCCGCTTCACCGCGCATTGACAAATCTTATTGTGAGAACTACTTCCGTTTGACCACAATCATGGCGGATCATAACAACAACTCCATGGATTTTGACGCTGACTTTCGAATATTCCACATAGGCAATTGGAAATTTTGGATTAAAAATGCGTTTGATTTCACTGCGCTTCACTGCGCACGTATAGAACACTGTCGCACTACTTCAGCTTGACCACCAAAATGACTAATATCAACACAACATACGTGATGGAAATGCTGATAAAACCTTTATTTAAACTTGAAATATACAATTATATGATCCCCCCAGCCCCAATTATGAGGGAACCTCACTATCATATTACCTTCTTTTATAAAAATATTCAAACTCAATTACAATGCACAACCCCAAACATAAACAAAACAATATCTAACATATAAATCAGAAAGCCTTGTAAAAATACATCCCTATCTATACAAAATATGCAGCAAAACATTAGTACACATTTACCTACCTGGTAAATGGTATATTTAATTCCGTTTAGAATGGGACATTTGCAAGATAGATCTAACGGTCTGGCGAAACACCACATTTATGCCACTCATAGTCATACTCCATCATATCCCGTTGCATCGTTCACAAAATGATTCTGCTCTCTGCCAGCTTCCCCGCAATGTTATGTTCATCTACTTTGGAAAACGCTTGGACACAGTCCAGTCCCAAACGATGAAAACAAAGTTCCAAGGAATCACAAGTTAGTCGCATGTACACTAAGCAGCAGCACTGTCACCCTTTTGTCGCATGCCGGGGTGGAGGCAGTACGTGAAATCATGATCGGCCGGTCATAAAAATCAACAGTCTTTGATGAGTTACAGGTCGTAGGTTGATCAGGAAAGTGTCTATCCTTCGATTCTGCAGGGTTCAGATTCGACAGTCAGTCAAGTATTGCCCACTGTCATTCAAATTTCAACCTTTCGCAAAATGTAAACACTGGCTCGTCCGCCATTTCAAACTGTTGCGTAACTGTCTACTTCGAAGAAAATAAGTAGGTCAGACGATTCCATTATAGTGTGGCCAGGGGGGTACAGCTTCACGGCACACAAAACAATAGGCTGGTTTTAGTCGTGTGGAGTTGGGATGGAAAAAAACCCAAGATCTCGGGTATTATATAATTGCATTGAATAAACAGTAGTTTGATTTCTTTGGACAGAATATTGTTATGTTGTAATGTTAAAAAAATACGAACGGCACCTACCGCTCCCTTCACAGACGAGTTCAATTCGCCTCTCGTCCCATGCCGGATTACGCAGTGTCTTCCGCAGAGCGAGGAAGTTCGATTTTAAATGGTTCATGGTAGAATAGAGATAACCCTTGTGTGTTTGAAAATCAGAGACAAGCTTTACTGAATTGATGGCGAATAAATATTTCAATTGAAACCTCGCGTTCGGTTTCAATTGAAATATTTAGTCGCCATCAATTCAGTAAAGCATGTCTCTGATTTTCAAACACACTAGGTTTATCTCCTAATTATATTACAGTGTCACTATTAGGTATTATATTACAGTGTCACTGTTGTGTATTATATTACAGTGTCACTGTTGTGTGTTATATTACAGTGTCACTGCTGGGTATTATATTAAGTGTCATTGTTTGGCATTATATCACAGTGTCACTGTTGGGTATTATATTACAGTGTCATTGTTGGGTGTTATATATGTAGCAGAGACATTTTTCATGGTTTTAATAAGTCAGTTTGTTTGTTTGTTTGTATAGAACTATTTTACAATTATTGAATATAAAATGGTGTTATAATGTTTTATTGTTTACAAGTAAAATAAGAATAAAAAGATTATATAAGTCATAAAAAGGTCACTAAAAGTATTGAAGGTTGATGGTAGTGTTCTAAAGTTTGTGGTAGTGTTTTTAAGTTTGTGGTTTTATGCATATGTCAATCATATTGATATTTGGTTGTATTTCTCAAGTATTTCAGATGAATTTCATTCATCTGAAACGTTCTTATTATGTTTAGGATTCACAAAATATGCTGGATCTAGAGTATGGTCTCATTCTGGATTATTGTTTATCACATGACCCTAATTCCTAGCTTTTAATTGGCTAATTTCAAATTCCCATAATTCCCAAGCACCAATATGAGCACCCCAGTAGAAACACTTTAGCACAGCACAGCACCCAGGCAACAAGGCAACAAGGTCCACTAAACAGCATCAAACAGGTTAGTTAAATACTTTTACACTAAATTATGCTTAAGTGTAAATGTTCTTTTACATCTCCATTAAATTAATTGCAGTCTAAATGTTATTGGGTAATTTGTAATATATGGTCATGTTGTAAACCTACTAAACTTGGTTAATTACCTTAAAGCCAAAGTTCATGTTGTATTGTATTATAACTCATGAAAAACCAAATAGCATTATAAGTAATGTTCTGTTTTTACAACCATTTCCCTCAGATTTCTAAACGTATTTAAGTGCAATGGTTTTCTGTGTGTTCTGTGAGTGGAGAGCAGAAAAAATTGTGAAAG